CATCCCAATGGACATGGTATGAATGGGCCAATTCCTCCAGCACACTGCCATTTATGTTTGGCAGATCCTCCCCACATACCCCAACGGGACTGTAGAAGAAACTCGAAGCTGATCGAAGCAACTGAGAAGCATCTCAAATGCAAGCTTAATGCACCTGAAAGCATATTGCATTTGCCAATTATACCAGCCCTAATGTAAGTAAAAGCCCATAAATTCAATAAAGTGCAACATTAACATAAAATTATATACTAAGAGCACACTATTTAAAAAAAAACACCATTTTGATGATTTCCTTCAGCATGCTTGTCACTTATCTACCAATTAAATGTAATCCCTTATCAGTTTACAGGAATCTACACTGCATCCTTTATGTCAGATTGATACCCTCTACGCTGCATCCTTTATGCCAGATTGATACACTCTACGCTGCATCCTTTATGCCAGATTGATACCCTCTACGCTGCATCTTTTATGTCAGATTGATACACTCCACGCTGCATCCTTTATGTCAGATTGATACCCTCTACGCTGCATCCTTTATGCCAGATTGATACACTCTACGCTGCATCCTTTATGCCAGATTGATACCCTCTACGCTGCATCCTTTATGCCAGATTGATGCCCTCTACGCTGCATCCTTTATGCCAGATTGATGCCCTCTACGCTGCATCCTTTATGACAGATTGATACCCTCTACACTGCATCCTTTATGCCAGATTGATATCCTCTACGCTGCATCCTTTATGCCAGATTGATACCCTCTACCCTGCATCCTTTATGCCAGATTGATATCCTCTACGCTGCATCCTTTATGCCAGATTGATACCCTCTACGCTGCATCCTTTATGTCAGATTGATGCCCTCTACGCTGCATCCTTTATGACAGATTGATACCCTCTACACTGCATCCTTAATGCCAGATCAATACCCTCTACGCTGCATCCTTTATGTCAGATTGATACCCTCTACGCTGCATCCTTTATGCCAGATTGATACACTCTACGCTGCATCCTTTATGCCAGATTGATACCCTCTACGCTGCATCCTTTATGCCAGATTGATACACTCTACGCTGCATCCTTTATGTCAGATTGATACCCTCTACGCTGCATCCTTTATGCCAGATTGATACACTCTACGCTGCATCCTTTATGCCAGATTGATACACTCTACGCTGCATCCTTTATGCCAGATTGATACACTCTACGCTGCATCCTTTATGTCAGATTGATACCCTCTACGCTGCATCCTTTATGCCAGATTGATACACTCTACGCTGCATCCTTTATGCCAGATTGATACACTCTACGCTGCATCCTTTATGCCAGATTGATACACTCTACGCTGCATCCTTTATGTCAGATTGATACCCTCTACGCTGCATCCTTTATGCCAGATTGATACACTCTACGCTGCATCCTTTATGCCAGATTGATACACTCTACGCTGCATCCTTTATGCCAGATTGATACACTCTACGCTGCATCCTTTATGTCAGATTGATACCCTCTACGCTGCATCCTTTATGCCAGATTGATACACTCTACGCTGCATCCTTTATGCCAGATTCATACCCTCTACGCTGCATCCTTTATGTCAGATTGATACACTCTACGCTGCAACCTTTATGCCAGATTGATACCCTCTACGCTGCATCCTTTATGTCAGATTGATGCCCTCTACGCTGCATCCTTTATGACAGATTGATACCCTCTATGCTGCATCCTTTATGCCAGATTGATATCCTCTATGCTGCATCCTTTATGTCAGATTGATACCCTCTACCCTGCATCCTTTATGTCAGATTGATACCCTCTACGCTGCATCCTTTATGTCAGATTGATACCCTCTACGCTGCATCCTTTATGCCAGATTGATACCCTCTACACTGCATCCTTTATGTCAGATTGATACCCTCTATGCTGCATCCTTTATGCCAGATTGATATCCTCTATGCTGCATCCTTTATGCCAGATTGATACACTCTACGCTGCATCCTTTATGCCAGATTGATACACTCTACGCTGCATCCTTTATGCCAGATTGATACACTCTATGCTGCATCTTTTATGCCAGATTGATACACTCTTCGCTGCATCTTTTATGCCAGATTGATACACTCTACGCTGCATCCTTTATGCCAGATTGATATCCTCTACGCTGCATCCTTTATGCCAGATTGATACCCTCTACGCTTCATCCTTTATGCCAGATTAATACACTCTACGCGTCATCCTTTATGCCAGATTGATACACTCTATGCTGCATCTTTTATGCCAGATTGATACACTCTATGCTGCTTCCTTTATGCCAGATTGATATCCTCTACGCTGCATCCTTTATGCAAGATTGATACCCTCTATGCTGCATCCTTTATGTCAGAATGATACCCTCTACGCTGCATCCTTTGTGCCAGATTGATACACTCTACGCTGCATCCTTTATGCCAGATTGATATCCTCTACGCTGCATCCTTTATGCCAGATTGATGCCCTCTACGCTGCATCCTTTATGCCAGATTGATACCCTCTACGCTGCATCCTTTATGCCAGATTGATACACTCTACGCTGCATCCTTTATGCAAGATTGATACCCTCTACGCTGCATCCTTTATGCCAGATTGATACCCTCTACGCTGCATCCTTTATGCCAGATTGATACCCTCTACGCTGCATCCTTTATGCCAGATTGATACCCTCTACGCTGCATCCTTTATGCCAGATTGATACACTCTACGCTGCATCCTTTATGCTAGATTGATGCACTCTACGCTGCATCCTTTATGCCAGATTGATACCCTCTACCCTGCATCCTTTATGTCAGATTGATACCCTCTACGCTGCATCCTTTATGCAAGATTGATACCCTCTACCCTGCATCCTTTATGCCAGATTGATATCCTCTACGCTGCATCCTTTATGTCAGATTGATACCCTCTATGCTGCATCCTTTATGTCAGATTGATACACTCTACGCTGCATCCTTTATGCAAGATTGATACACTCTACACTGCGTCCTTTATACCAGATTGATACACTCTACGCTGCATCCTTTATGCCAGATCAAAGTTGTCTATTTGACAAATACGTATAGCAAGGGCTTCAGGGGTGACATCCCTGCCTCATTCCACTATGGGGAAAGAAGGCTATTTATAATGGACTGTGGGTAAGCATATAGTATTGCAATCCACTTACAAAATTCTGGGCCAAAGCACTTTAAACTGCGGAGACCTTGGCTGTATCCAAGAAGGCTGCCGCACTAGCACCTGCACTGTAGCCCAACAACCGTGAGATCATTTGACCTCCATGAATATTGATGGTGGTAGATTTCTTGGACATAACAGCCATTTGACCTTCATGTATGATAGACAGATAGTAAATGATGGAGAATCCTAGCTATGGTTCTCACTTAACAGACCATTGTTGGTAGAATAACCGACTGTAGTTGAACCTTTTTATCATATAATCTACAGTTGATTCCTGCAAGTGTGTGATGAAAGTGCGACATAATCAGCAAGCTGTGCCGCATGGCATTTGGAAAGTGAGGCAGAGGAGTAGATGTAAAGACGAACGCGCAGCTACACACTAGGGAGTACGTGCATCTTATTTCTACGTAGAATAATAGCACCAGAGGCCATGTCACACAATCTGATTTCAGATGTCTGGAAACATACAGCTATCTCTCTAATTGGATGTAATTTGATTTTTCTGGTGTGCAATGACAGAAGAGCTTGTATAAACACATTAGCAAACACTCATGGCAATGATCATCAAAAATAAGTGGCAGATGACCTAAGAAAAACCTCTGCATTTGCCGTCGTTATTTTATAATTTCATAGCAAGCTGAAACTAGAAGGATAGATGGAGTTAGATGGTATGCATTGACAGTGATGAACCACTGGATAACAGCAAGGTGCCTATAGACACTAGACAGCGGCCCTGCATCCATGGTTAGGATGCTAATCGTTTACGTGAATGACTATTGTACATACTGTATATGTATGTGTGCATGGTGGGCAGGGTCGGTGCTAGGATTTTTGCCTACACAGGCAAAGGTGCATTTTTGCGCCCCCCGCCCCCTATCAGCATCAATAAGAAAAAAAGAAAAAGAAAGCTTTGTAAATAGAAAAAAGTGTGCTTGTGGGTCGGAGGATCCCGACACCAGCAGCACCTCTGGCAATCACCGGCCAGCTAAATTAGGACCCCACCTAGAGCTCCTCCCACCGGACCAGCGCTGACTTGCCGCTGCTCTCCCGCACCGAAGGTAAGTGAAAAAAACAAAAACATAACGCTAGGCATCGGGGCATTTTGACAAGTACAGGTACTTGTCAAAATGCCCTGTTTTTTCCGCCCTCACCCTGCAGCGCCCTCAGGCGGCCGCTTGCCTTGTGGTAGCGCCGGGCCTGATGGTGGGCATATGGGCCAGGGAAGGGGACTTAATACCAGATCGTAATGGGGAAAAAAGGTTTCAAGGAAAATCCGTCCTATCCAATTATCTCTTCTTCCAAACAGGCATGGACAGGAGTTGTGTCCCCGCGGGGAGGAGAGAAACTGTGACAGCCGGCCGAGCGCTGCGGGAGGAGAGCGCTGTGAGCGGCCGGCGTCTCTCCTCCCACACTGCTCAGCCTCCTATCACAGTCCGGCAGAGCGGTGTGTGGGCGGAGACATCGCTGTCATAGGAGGCTGAGCTCTCCTCCCAGCACCTACATTTTAGCTATGGGCTAAGAATAAGCTCTTCTCTCTGTCACTCTGCTCCCTCCACCTCTCATTGATTCTTGCACTGAAACACAAGTGAGTGGTTCCTCGTGCTGCTTCTCCCTCCCCAACTTTAAGCTCTGCTGTACAGGGGCTATAAGAGGCTGATTCAGTGTCAAATCCAAGTACTTACACTGCTTGCATTTAAAAAAAAAAAAAGGAATACATGAATACAGAGCTGCATTAATTTGTGTCTTTTATATCTTCCTGGAGTTCAGCTTTAACTGGTAAACAATGGCAGTTACCTTCTCCTTAGGCTCCAACTCCTTCGGTGAAATGGGATCTTCTGAAAAGGAGGCCCTCAAATTCTGAGGGCAAAATTCTAGAGCAGGAATGAGAATAAAGGTAATTCTAATGAAGGTAGAGCAATCAACAACTAGTGGAACGATCCTGAATACATGAGCAGTGCACTCACCTTCTACTCCGAGACCATCGGGGAAAAGAAGTCCCTGTACGGCACAACAAATGTCTTCAAAGATACAGTCCTCCTCTCTGTCTGCATCAAACTGGAAGGTGGGAACCAAAAACAGTGGTCATGTCACCAGCTACATTCCCCAGATACACCCGGACTACTAACTTCAAATATGACCTGACGTGAGAGCAATATGCATTCTGCCATTGCTGGTCTCCTTATCAAAATGCTAGTTGCCTGCCTTTTATGCTGACCCACTGATCTCAATAACTTTGAGCTACTGACACAGCGATAAGTATGCAGATCAGGAAAGTCAGAGAAAAGTCAACAGCCCTTATCTGCATACGTGTTCTGGATTAGTGACTCAAACTAAGGAAGCCAGAGGATCAGCATGAAAGCCAGGCAACTAGCACTTTCAGAAGCAGAGGTCAGAGGGGTTTACTTTAAAGGGGGATGTTTTTCTCATTGCTTTTTAGATAAATATGGATCAATCATTTTATCAATAGGTGGTAATATTTTAAAAGCCCCTGTGCGGTGTATAAGGCCTCATTCACAATGGCTTTTTAGGGCCAGCAGGGGATTCCTGCAGCAAGAATCAGCGGATTCTTGTGGCTGGACAGATTGCATCCAGGGCTGGTTATCTGTCCCTAGTTGCACGTAACCGCTAGATATGTGATACCAGAGCTGAAGCTAGCTCCTTTTGCGCCCGAGGCAAGAACTAAAAAATGTGCCCCCGCAGCAGGCGTGTGACGTCACCCAGCGCCTGTGATATCATGCGCCCCGCCTCCCGGATGCTTTTTAAAAAAAACATTTTATTTTTTATTGTTTTTTATTAATTGTTAATTTTTTTTTTTTTACTTTTGGGGGGGGCTTCTGGGAAAATATTAGAGGTCTAAACAGACCCCTGATATTTCCCTTTTAAAATATAAAAAGATATTGAGGACACAGAGTCCTCAATCTCTTTTTCTGCAGCATCTGTTCTAAATGAATGGAAAGTACAGAGACTTCCCATTCATTCAGAAACTATTTACTTTCATCCAGTTTCTGAATGGGGAGAAGCCTCTGTACTGAGTGCTACTACCCATTGAGAAACTCAAGAATGAACAGAAAGTGATGTAAAGCACTTCCTGTTCATTCATAACTGGGGACACATAGTACTAGGTGTCCCCAGTTATTTACAAACACTAGAGTGATCAGCTGATCGCTCCAGTGTTTGCTCTGCACACAGAGGATCGGTACATATCACTGATATGCACCGATGCTCCGCCGCTCGGCCACGCACAGAGCACAGCCTGCAGCTTTTCCTCTGGATCCCCGCTGCTCTCCCCTATCTGTATGCAGCGGGGACCTAAGGAGAAGTGAAGCACTTCAGCTGGCGGGGGGAGGCGGGCGTAGGAGGGAGCTGCTGTCACAGCAGCATGGTCGAGCGGTGAGGAGAGAGAGAGTGGGGACTGCCTGTATATTACATTTTTGCTCTTGGGTTTAGAAACCCTTCAAGCTTGCTTAATATGTTGCAATCTGATTGTACAACCTACATTGGATTTACTAACACCTATATAGTGCCTGATTGGATGCAAGTTGGGCGGATTGTTTAGGTAGGTCTTTGCATTGGTGGTTGATGAGTCAAATCTAAAGAACATTAAACAGATATTGTACAATCAGATTGTAACATGTGTGACCAGCTTTATGGGAAGCCTGTTGGTGGGCAAAGTCTGGGGACCCTTTGAACATTTGCAGGGACCCACCGCCCAGACACTCACCCGGGCTATCAGCCCTTTATCCTGGTAATATTTGACAATCAGAGGGAGATTCTGTTTAAAAGTCTCCAGTCGTCTGTCTATGGCGTGAGCATTATCATCGGGCCGCCCCTGCTGTGCAGAACGCTTCTCTAAACGCTGTCGTAGACGCTGGCTGGAACACGCCAAGAAGATCACCAGGTCTGGAGTCCCAATCTGCGGGGGAATATAATGTTCCTGATCACATCTGTGGTTTGCTATAAATATGACGATCTTATACAACCAACAAAGCAGGTCACAAACATTTTACATCTTTCATTTTCATTTGTGGTCAAAGCCCCACTGATACGTACCCAAGAATCGAGATGATGGACCTGCCTACAATGACCTGGGGTGTGCCGTGGTCACTATGGTCAGTATACAAAATAAGGGGGCATACTCAGAGTAAAGGGTAACTGAAAAAAGGGGTGAGGCGGGTGGGATGATGCCCACGAGCCGACAGGTGAGAGTGGGAGACAGAGCAGTTTAAATGTGTGGGGCTCCTCCCACAAATCCGGCTAATTAATTAGCATACCAAGTTTCGACCTTTCCGTTAGCTGGCACAATCAATATATTAGCAGTTCATCAAACTACTTAAAGGGCTAGTTCATCTTTTTTCATAAAACAGCCCATTCAGCTGATGACAAATTTATGTATAGTGTATAGTGCAGGGTTAGGCAAACCTCAGCCCTCCAGCTGTAGTGAAACTACAAATCCTCTGGAAATCACACTTGTGGCTACCAGAGTCTTGCGATGCCTCATGGGACTTGCAGTTCCACAACAGCTGGAGGGCTAAAGTTTGGCTTCCCCTGGTCTAGTGGATTATGTAAAGTAGGTGTTGATTCTCTCTACTTCATCCAGCTTAATATTCTTGCTCTCTGCTTTGTGATTCCTGGCTTTTCTATATATGCAATATGGATATATTGTCTTAGGCCTCATTCACACTGTAAGCAGCCCGCACGTACAGCTCCGTGCTGTGTGCACAGCCGTCCGGGAAGGACAGGTGCTGCGTGTGATTAGTATGCAGCCCCCGTCCTTCTCTATGTTACTATGTGGCCGTACGCCGCCCTACGCTCACCTCAAGTGCAGGTCCGTACGGGTGCGTGTGGCCCGGCTCGGATGCAGACAGGATCCATCCTGTCAGTGTACGAGTATGCTCACCCGCACCAGCACGGACGTGCAGGGCGGGTGAGCGTAGGGGGGCGTATGGCCGTGTAGTCCCATAGAGAAGGACGGGGGCTGCGTACTAATCACACGCAGCACCTGTCCTTGCCGGGAGCTGCTCGATACGGCCCTGCACGCAGCACGGAGCTGTACGTGCCGGCCGATTCCAGTGTGAATGAGGGCTTAATGTTGGTTGGGCTGACAAGGTCATCCGGTTTAATTACCCTTTATGAGCAAAGAGATGGTTGTGATGGGTCGAAAGCTACTTATTTCTTTTTTTTTTACATTGATAGTTTATGGTGGACGTCACACGGCTAATGTATTTGGTATTAAGAGGGGTATAGACTCCAGAGACATAATCCTGCCCCTGTACAAAGCATTAGTAAGACCTCATCTGGAATATGCAGTTCAGTTTTGGGCACCAGTTCACAAAAAGGATGTTGTGGAACTGGAGAAAGTGCAGCGAAGGGCGACCAAACTCATAAGAGGCATGGAGGAGCTCAGCTATGAGGAAAGATTAGCTGACCTGAATTTGTTCTCTCTGGAGAAGAGGCGATTAAGGGGGGACATGATCACAATGTATAAATACATATATGGTCCATATAAAGAATTTTGTGCCAAATTATTCTCGTTAAGGTCACTGCAAAGGACAAGGGGGCACTCTTTGCGTCTGGAGGAAAAGAGGCTTAACCTTAGCATACGGAAAGGATTCTTCACAGTTAGAGCTGTGAAAATGTGGAATAGACTCCCCCAGGAACTTGTTCTAGCTAGCTCGGTTAATTGTTTTAAAAAACATCTGGATGTATTCCTAAATGCACAGAACATTACTGGATATTGAGTTCTTAGAGGTATATTAAGCATCAGAGATTGTTGATCCAGGGAATAGACATGTGCGATTCGTTTAGTTCCGAATCGAAATTCGGACGAATTTTCGGAAATTCGGACATTCGGATGTATCCGAATTCCGAATTACAGACATAACGAATGCAAACGAATCCGAATTTCCATTTCCGAAATTCGGTAGCATTCGTACGAACGTTCGTTTCGTTTTCTGTTCTTATTCGTTTCTTATTCGTTTCTTATTCGTTTCGTTCGTTGGAGCAAAGTGACATTAGAGAAGGAGAAAAATATTTTTTCCCTCTCAAATGTCACTTTTGCTGCAAACGAACGAAACGAATAAGAACCGAATAAGAAACGAATAAGAACAGAAAACGAAACGAACGTTCGTACTAACGCTACCGAATTTCGTCCGAATTCCGAATCCGAATTGACTTTCACACCCGAATCCTGAAAAACGAAATAACACAAATCCGAATTTAAAACGAAACGAAACAAATTTTTTGGCAGTGCACATGTCTACCAGGGAATATCCGATTGCCTTATGGGATCAGGAAGGAATTTTTTCCCCTGTTGGAGCAAATTGAACCGTGCTTTATAGGGGTTTTTTTGCCTTCCTCTGGATCAACATTGGGTAATCGTAAGCATAGTGTTCTGTTTGGGCTTTTCTTCTTTTTTTCTTCTTCTTTGTATCTCTATAGGTTGGACTCGATGGACTTTTTTCAACCTGACTAACTATGTAACTATGATGCAAAGCCCCTTAATGTGCCAGAAGACTGTTATGTAAGTGTTAAGAGTACCTGTTCCTCAAATGTGAATGCCTGCCCAATGTCCCTGGGAAACCCATCAACTACAAATCCCGGAGCATCCTGTTGATTGATAAACTGCTGCTTCAGCTCCTCAATTGTTGTTTCCTGTATAAAATAGAATATAAGCCAAAGAATCGCGTTAGAAGTCAGTTGAGAATACCTAAAACTCATGAGACTGTCATCCGGAGTTGATCGTTCATGGATTTGGGTTGGATCAGATCCACTCATATCTACTTTTGTCTTTCAGGATGTACTGACAAACAAATATTTCACCATTTTAGGTTATTTTAAGTCAGAAGCTGAACTTAGCACAAAAAGTTTAAAACTAAGTTGAAATACATATACATTGACTATTTAAAAATGGCAAAGGGTTTGCAGTTCTTGTGATTCAGGCACCGGTGCCAAACAGCGCAGCCAGGTCGGTGTCCTCACTTTCCTCTACTGCAGTTAGGCATTACAGTTTGGTCAATGACCCTCCACAGCCTATGGATTGGCTGAGATTGGCTTCACTTCATGCACAAGGTTGGGTTTACCATTAGACTCATCAGACCTGTCCCTATAGGTGACTGTCAGGCAACAAGGGCTGCCGCTCCTTACCAGGGTCGCCAGCAGTGGTGCAGCGCACCGGGTTCTTTTTCTCCTGGCATTACTCCTGGTGCCGGGGGCCGCCGGGGGCGCACACGTAACACGCCCGCGCCACTTAGCAGTAAAAAAACTCGCGCGACCGTCGCGCGATTCCGAAGGCTACTTGGCTGTATCCCAATGTAAAACGCCCTACAAAACGGCCCAAAGTAGTACCTGGACCTTTTCAGGCGTGGGCCGTTTTGTAGGGCGTTAGGGACGGGCGGAAACATTTGGGGATTCCTGGAGCCACCTTACCTCCCCCCTCTTCTTTTTTTTCCTTTTGCCCTTCTCCCTTCCCTACCAGTCCTTTTCTTCTCTTTCCCCCTCTTCATCCCTTCTTTCTGTTTCTATACATTCCTAATTTCTTGTTTCCATCCTTCTATCTGTGCTCCCCAGACCCATCTGTCCAAGCTTCCACCCAGGATACTCCGTCGGTTGCACGCCTGTTGGTCCTTCTAGGAAAAAGGATCCTACTGGTTGGGATTGGATTGTCACTGTTTCCCGGCCCACCTTTCATTTCCTACACTGCAACTGCAAGTCAGTTCCTCGCGTTCTCACCCAACACCCCATGGTCTGGAGAGCCTCTTGTGCCCACCAATAATAATGAGGACATCTGCATGTTCTTACACAGTCCTTTTCATATCATTTAAATGTTTATTATTTTTACAGACGAATCTCTGTAACGAGGACAAACACCTAATTGAAATTTTGATTGAAAGTAAAACAAGAAACTGTTTTGTGTTTAAGGAATAATACTGTCAAAGGGGTGGTGGCAGCAAAGCACGTGTGTCTACAGGCTCGCACATCGTTAATGTTGGTCTACAGTAGGCCAGCCTATGGTGTTCTAAGCCCTTGGCACCCAGCCAGTGTCTCGGCCCGTCCCCTGGGTGTGCAGAGATGTACGGGCTCATAGCGGGCAAACTATCATCAGATCCTGTATGAATAGGGTTGGGAACTGGTTATAAACATCTCAGGGTACCAGGATAGCCTTTCACCTATTAAATATTTGTTCTGATTAGATATTTGACTATGATTGCCCCAAGTGCCTGTGTTGATGGGCTTTTGCTCACTTCAAACGGGTTTTGTATTCCCGTCTACGGGGATTGTCAGGGAAGTCCAGCCAGTGCTCATAGTACAGCTTTTGCATGGGCTGCTGCGCAAACGCATACATGAGTAAAGTGCTACGCTGCCAATATGTCACACCCGTGCACACACATTGCAGCGCATGCAAAGTGGTGTGCACACGTGCGTCCTCAACCATGGAGCCACATGGCCTATTTAAGATTGCACTCTGCATGTGTTCAATGCTTAGAGATCTTCAGCTAGTGTTCCTGTATCCGTGTATCTGATTCCTGTTTCTGGCTCTTGTGTTTGACCCGGCCTGACTCTTCTGACCTCCACCTGCCTTTGTGACCTCGGCTTGTTATCTGACCTTGCTCCTGCCTGCTGACTTGGTACGGTCCTGCCCGAATGGCTTTTCACTATGCTTGACCCCGATTCTGTACTGCGCTGCCTGCAAGGTTATGGACCTGGCTAACCTCCAAATTTGGGCCAGTCTTCAGCATCTCCGCTGTCCTTCCAGGTGCTGGCATCCCTCCTGGTGGTCACCTCCATCCGCTATTTCCTGCATCCAGTCACCTGCTCCAGTGTCTTCATCAGCTTCACTACCAGCCGGCACTCATGCCCCTCTCTATCCTTATATCTCTGCTTACACTATCAGGGGTGATTGATGAGAGCAGCAAGAGAAGGCCATCCTCGTCATTTCAAGCTCATATCAGGTACAGGACAGAAAATATTTTCTGTCCTGTACCTGATATGAGCTTGAAATGACGAGGATGGCCCGCTTGAAGCAGGACAAATGCAAGTTGAATGGAGGTCAACTGCAGATCAAATGCATCTGTGAGTGAATTCTGAATGATCTCAGGAGCATCTCTCTTGGCTGAACAGATGAAGGCAACCTACTGCCAACAGCTGCTACCGTAATCATGAAATGATGGATAATGTTGGCAGTAGAATGCCTTGACCCTTTGGATCTTTGATGGATCCGTTATTGAAAGCAAGTCAAAAGTGGCTGAAGTAAAAAAAACATTGCCAAGTGCATAGACACAATTATTCTCTATATACTAGACGTGTTTAACTTAAAGGAGAAGTATGAGGGGAGTGAAAATCACTCGTCCTCATAGTTCGAGCCGACGTGTGACAATTAAACTGTCACGCGGTGTCTCAATAGATCGGGAAGTGAGCGAAGACATAACGTCGCTCGCTCACTTCTCGATCGTTTCTCTGCACAGAGCAGTGACTGTCACTCACGGGATTCGCCCTCTCCGATCCTCCAGCACTGAGTGGAGGAACGGATGTGGAGGGAGTGGGTACAGCTGGCTCTGTCTCTAGATAGGCAGAGCCAGCTGTCACTCACGTAGCTGGGTGGATCCCGACAATAATGTTGGGATCCGTCCCGGCTGCGGCGGTCTCAGTATACTGCGAGCTGTAGCTTGCAATATACTGAGCTTTGGGTCATGGGGGGACGATAGTGTATGTCCTCCCGTGACCCTTAGGAGAACTATGGGGAAAAACACTTACCCCATAGTTCTCTTTTAAGTCCCAGGTAACTTGTGATCTTTTAGGATGAAATGCTCTCTACCTGCAGCTACAGAGGTCACCAGGGGCTTATTTTAAAGCTCATTTGTTGTTAAGATTGCTAAAAACAATGCACCAATTCCGATCAAACAATCCAATCCAGTAAAGCAGAGGACAGTCAATGTTACAGTGACAGTTGGCTGTTTCTGATCCACTTTTCGATAAGAATCAATGAATCTATGAAGTTCACTTTTGGTGCCCTAGTAAATAAACATTTGTTTGGTGAAAACTGTATGCGTGGATAGCCAGTATAAGACAAGCATACAGTATGTACAATTTATAGAAACTTCCCCTTTCACCTTGCTCTGACATATTCTTATAGACAACAACAAGGTTTTCCTGTCTTCTAATTTTTATTCTTCATACCCCTTCCCCCAACTTTGTGCTCATTCTGAAGCAGAGCCCCTTAGAGGCTGTAATATTGCACTTCTGCCTGCAGGGGGAGTGCTGGCTCTTTCCCTTCAATGCCGGTTCTGCATTACTTCTGCCACGCTGGCTAACTGACAGACATTAAGTATGTATTAGGGCTCAGGTGTTTAATAAGCTTTCTGCGGTGTGAGGGAGCCCCTTGAGTGAATGCAAAGAAGACTACGGCTATAAAAGGAACTGCAGCATTTTATCAAAGTGCTTTTTTTTTTTAAAGAGATAGGGAACTTTTTAATGCTAAACTGTAAGCGGAAAATAAAAGTTATCCAATGATATCTATTACAAAATCACTACAAGTATTTTTATAATTAGTTAGTATAAATACCCAATTGTTTCTTCACATCAGACTCCTGCAAAGCTGCGAGCGAGAGGGCCAGAACTAGGAGCCACTCAAAATCTACAGTACTTCATTGCACCACAGTGTAGTCAATCTATCAATAGCAGCTTGCTAACAGGAATGGAGAGCAGAGCGGTTGCCCATTGATGCGGCTTCAGTGTCCAATCAGCAAGCTAGGGACAGGTCAGTGACCAAGCTATATTTCTTAGCTGCAGTGGAGTAGAGTGAGGTCATCAACTTGGCTCTGCTGCCTGGCAGGGAAGGCTGTGGACCATATGACTGGCAGGCAAGCTTACATATATGTATTTGCCTGGAGCTTGGATTTAAAGGGAATCTGCTATTAAACTAATCAGATGACAGCTCCAATATTCAGGGTTCTGAGCTGCTTACGTATAATGGAGCAGTGAAGCTGAATAAAATCAGCTTCTTAGTACAGGAGCTAGTATGCGGCCCAGGAGTCAGAGACTGGCAGGTTAGGGTTTAGCAGAAAGAATTGGAACATCATTATGCTACCTGCTCCCTTTTAGGATACAAATAACAGTTAGTGGCCTTTCATTCTCATGATAAGGCCTCATTCACACTGGAATTGGTCGGCACGTACAGCTCCATGCTGCGTGCATGGCCGTATCGGGCTGCTCCCGGGAAGGACAGGTGCTGCGTGTGATTGTATGCAGCCCCCGTCCTTCTCTATGGGAGTATGCGGCCGTACGCCCCCTCTATGCTCACCACTAATGCAGGTCCGTACGGGTGCGGGTGTCCCGGCTCGGACGCAGACATTATCCATCCTGTCAGCGTACAAGTACAGACACCGACACCCGCACGGACGTGCAGGGCAGGTGAGCGTAGGGTGGCGTACGGCCGTGTAGTCCCATAGAAAAGGAAGGGGGCTGCGTGCTGTCCTTCACGGGAGCTGCCCGATACTGCCCTGCACGCAGCACGGAGCTGTACGTGCGGGCTGATTGCCGATTCCAGTGTGAATGAGGCCTAGGATGCAAAATATCCCATACAGTGGACACATACCTGAGGGGCAAGCTCTCCTTTAGAAATGATCTGAGCTATCAGCTCCCACTTGCGGTCACTGCTGGCGTGGTGAATAAGCTGTTTGCGCAGAATCTCACCGACAGATATACAGATAAAGCCAAAATGAGACGCCATCTTTGTACTCTGAGTCCCTTTGCCACTTCCTGGACCGCCTGTGACACCGGAAAGACACATTCAAGTCAAGAGGAACGATGGTGTGCAAACAGGAATAACTCAGTACGACCAATCACATTTAATGATTCATCAGTTTAAAACAGTCAAAACAATGAAAGGAGACTTCTTATTGGTTACATTAGGCTAATGTTACCTTATTAAAGGTAATGTATGGTGTAATTTCAGCGATAGCATACTTTGAGTTATTAGAGCAGTCTTTACCTTTATTACAGCAGTCTTTACCTTCCAGTAATTTGGATGTGACCTTCAAATATTTACATGCTTTCCTTTCCATATTTTGGTTATTGCTTTAAATATAAAGATTTGCAGAACGACCACTAGAGGGAGCTCTGCTCTCACCTTCATTCAACTATTTTGCTTAAAGTGAACCTCTTAGTAATTTTACAAGTCTGCCGAAATAAATTCCTGATACGTCACAATGTAAAGCAACATCCGAACTCCGAACAAGTGACTTTGCATGGGATAAGATAATGTCATCGGACTGCTGCAGGCAAGAGCAAGCATTTCCTCAGTCTCCTACAAGGTGACAGGCTACAGCAGGGGCTGATAGGCATCAGAAATATGCAAAACCAGCCATGAACTGCACAGACACCAGGATCTACATGATTGTGTCATCTCTGCAGGGCCGGATTTACTCTCTCTGCTGCCCCAAGGCCCCCTACCCGCCAACTCCCCTCCATAGAGAATGGCAGACCTACAGGCTGCATACAAGTGATCTCTGCGACATCACCGAGATCACTTGTACAGAACAAGCAACGGCTTCCCCGCTATACATTTAGCTCTGCTTGCCCAAAGCAGGGCTAAATGTAGAAAACAACTACCCACCCGGCGCCCGGAACTGCATGTCCCGGGCATCGGGAGATAGGAATTCCACACCCCTGCTGCCCCTCTACTCTCTGCTACCCCGAGGCCGGGCCTTTGTTGGCCTTGTGGGAAATCCGGCCCTGCATCTATGATCCTGTATCTCAGACCAATTCTTCCCGGACCCATTTCAGAAGCCTAACCCTATCCTTTACCATCATGTTCTTAGATTCTGCAGGCGACAGGTGGATGTCATTTAATTGAAATAGCCAATAGCAGACTGGCTATTAAAACCCCACCCACTGAGCAGAGGAGCGGACCTGAGAAAGAAAGTTGTCTCTCAGTTACGCTACTCCGCTCAGTGGGCAGGTGCAATAGCCAGCCTGCTATTGGCTTTTGCAATTTGAAATAGACGGGGGGCACCGTGGGGGGTGAGTGGTCAAGGCTGCACCCTAGGTAGCAGTGCGCCCTAGGCGGCTGCTTAGTTTGCCTAGTGGCAGCACCAGCCCTGGCCAGAACTGCCTCCGAATGCTTCAGTACGACTCACCGATTACAAAAATAATTTTGGGTCTCTCCCTGTTTGGATCGAACACGTCGTATTCCTGAATCAGCCCTGAAGATTCTGTCATATCAGAATCACTGTCGATGGAGAACTGGGATTGGATGGGGGGAAGACGCTCATAGCGGCGCATGTGTTGGGACCCATCTGCAAAGATAAAAAAATACATATAATTTATTATGTAAGAATCAGTGTTTCTGTCATGTTATGGTAAAAACAATAGATCAGCGTCAATGGACAGACAACTGTGAGCATGTACCCACAGCCTCTTGCTTAAAGGAGAACTATGGGGTCAGTTCCGTTCCGCCAGTCAGCGCTGGCGCATCGGAGCGGGGAGGGGGGAATCCAGCCCTCTGCCGTGACAGGATTGAGAGGTGAGCGAACATCGGTATATGTTCGCTCACTTCCCGATCTCCTGAGCCGACCCGTGACAGTCTCATTGTCACAGGTCGGCTAGAACTATGAGGTGAGTGAAAAGCACTCACCTCATAGTTCTCCTTTAACTTTAATGAGATGTCTGCTGCAGAGACGGAACTCCATGTCTGTGATGATGCTATTAAAAGTGTTCATAATCTGGCTGTGCTGTGTGTTACATTATCTCTGTGCACTGTGCTGGATGCGACATACTTTAGACCAGTGTTTCTCAACTTTTTTTTAGCCATGGCACCCTTTTGTATGTGTGCAAAATCTTGAGGCAGCCCAGTCTAAGATGTAAAAACCATAAATGTAAAAATAAAAATAAGGTGACGGGTACTCTTTATAGAACCTGTCACCTCCAATACAGGAGTTCTAGCACAGCACTGTGCTGGAACTCCTGTGACAGAAGAGAGGGGAAGGCTGAGAGTGCAGCTCTCCCCTCTCACGTTCTCCGCTCTGCTCCCCGCTCTCCATCCTGAGGATCTCCAACCGGCGGGAAGAGAGGTACGGGAGCAGGGCCGGCCTTTGGGGTGTTCGAGTTGTGCGGCCCCACAGGACGCTGTGGCAACAAGGGCGCCAGGTGGCCGACACAGCTCGTCCTCGGGGCGGCACAGCCTGTGGCTTCTATCCTCCTCACCGCTCGGCCATCCGACATGACAGCGCCCCCTCCCCCTTACCCCCCCCCATCAGATCCCCGCTGCCTGTATGGGCTAAGGCAGCGGGGATCCGTGGAGAAACTGTCCACTGAAGCTTGCGGGGGGCGCAGGAGGGAGCGCTGCCTGCTGTCAGGATGGCCGAGCGGTGAGGAGAGAAGCCGCAGCTGTCAGGACGGCCGAGCGGTGAGAAGAGCAGAGCTGCTGTCATCCTGTCAGTTTCAGGATGACAGCAGCTGTGTGCGTGGCAGAGCGCAGGATCGCTACATATCAGTGACATGTACCGATCCTCTGGGCAGAGCAAGCACTGGAGCATTCAACTGATCACTTTAATGTTTGTCAATAACTGGGGACACAGAGTACTATGTTTCCCTATTTATGAATGAACAGGAAGTGATTTACATCACTTCCTGTTCATTCATGAGTTTCTGAATGGAGAGTAGTACTCACTACAGAGGCTCCTCCCCATTCAGAAACTGGTGATAGTAAATATTTTGCTATCATCAGTTTCTGAATGAATGGGAAGCCTCTGTACTGAGTGCTCTCCATTCATTTAGAACAGAGGCTGCAGAAAAAGAAATGGAGGACTTTGTGTCCTTTTCTATTTTAAAAGGGAAATGTCAGGGGTCTGTTTAGACTGCTAATATTTCCCCAAAGCCCCCAAAAAGTAACAGTAAAAATAAAAAATAAATAAATAAAAAATGTTTACAAATTATTTTGAAAAAAGTGAAAATTAACTTCCCCCCACCCCACATATTATTAGACATGTGCAAAGACTATAAATTAATTTCAAATTAAATGAACGAAAACTAAAAACATTTTATTTGTTTCATCAAACAAAAAAAAATTTCTGTTATTTTGGATTCAGCCATTGGCGTGTTCTGGAGGCAGGGCGCATGACGATATATGACACTGCACATGTTGGGCGCCTCCATCTTGGTGAATATCTAGGTATACACCAAGATGGCCGCGCCTATATCGGCGTGTGATGTCACCTGACACCACGCATGCATGGCGTCATGTGACGTCATGCTCCCCGCCTCCAAGATGATGGCACGCATTCGCAGAACGCGCCGGTGGCCAACATGGCCGCCGCACATTCTCAAACAAATTATTATGCGCCTGAATACATTTTTCGTATATTTGGGCAAATAGTAATTCATTCATTTAATATGTAATCTAGGTTTTATGTTCTGCTTTTTATTTTTACTTTTCTAGCTGCACTTATTTGAAAAAAGGGTCGGCATGACAACCTGACACTTTATTGTTATAGACTCTATTCTAGTTTGACATTTATTATTTATCACTTGTTTACCTTCTGTTGTTTTATTTAATAAGAATACTTATATTGTGCCTACAAGTTTAATACCTTTGAAGAAAAGTTTAATTTTTATCACATATCGCGGATATTGGGGAAATGGGTGTGGTCACTGAGGGGTGTGGTTACTGAGGGGTGTGGTCACTGAGGGGCACTGTAAAGCTTTCTCGCACAGGGCGCCTAAAGGCTGGCCCTGTACGGGAGGAAGGGGGCGGCGGGGGGAGGACGGACCAGCTGCAGTCTTATTACAAGTCATCTCGGCGACATCACCGAGATCACTTGTAAACGAACGAGCATCTTTCCCACTCTACATTTAGCTCTGCTTGCCCAAACCAGGGCTAAATGTAGAAAACAACCACCCACCCTGCACCCGGTACTGCATATCCCTGGCGTCGGGGGATTCGGGGGGCGTCGGGGGATTCCACACCCCTGCCGCCCGAGGCCGGGCCTCGGTGGCCATGTGGCAAATCCGGCCCTGCCTGCAGACATTGTTACCTCTTCTACCCCTTCTGCTCCATCACTGCACATGTTGTCATGTTGGCTCACCGGATTTGTGCGTGTTCTTCTTTCCTTGGCCTCCATTGATTGGAGGTAATGTGCGACTCAGAAACGTGTCCCACTGCACCTTTTCAGGTCCCCCTAAATCTCGAACCTTTTGCAGACACAACTCAAGGTAATTAATGGGGTCTTCAGGCCGGTAATACATAAGGCCTGTCAGCAGGCTCTGTGGGAAAGATAGAAATATGTTATAGACACAACAGAATGGATTTTACTGTTTAGGTTGATGTGATCAATGCTGGGTAACCAGCAGTGGAAAATGGAATTTAAAATAAAAAGCTCATACAACACCTTCATAGAACCTGCGTGACTTGCCAGCCATTGCACTGTACACGGCTGCAGAGGGTAAATACTGTAATACATTGTAACACTAATCTGCACCGACACACTGCCAAAACATGTGACTTTCGTTAATTTGTGACTTCCTTTATGTCCAAGTGCTTTTGTTGGTGACATGTTTCCTTGAGGGCCCTATCACACCATCAGGAGTGTGTTCCAGTGCGTTCGGCCTCTGGAACGCAACCCGGCCGGCTCAGTTTTTTTGGGGGGCAAGAGGAGGCGTGGCGGTGCATTGAACTCAATGGCACCGCAGCCACGCCCCCCGCCCGTGGTTCGATCGCTGACACCCAAACGCGTGGCACATTAGTGCCTGGCGTTCTGGTCCAGTGCGATCTGCAAAAAATGCTGCAAACACAACTTTTTGCAGATCGCACTGGACCGGTA